TCAGCAGGCGAACATAGTAAACCATACAGTGACATGTATCCAATCCAATCAATTACTCACAGTGATTCGCAAATAACCAACTCAGGGGCCGAGAATCGCAACATGAAATGAAAACATAGTATAAGATTATAACCCAAACATTACTCGAATTCAACAGTGAGTGCTTGACAGGACCCATAGCGACATGATATCATCAAAACAAAAGTTGGCATCGCCACAAGAGAGATGCAGCAGGTGTTCTGTTCCAAGAAACTACTAACATGCGAAGATTATCACCTAGCAAGACTTTCCATTTCCCTTCTTTTCTCCTCCACTCCACAGAAGGAAGCTACGCCTGCTGGTTGTAGACGTAGGTGAGGCCGCACTTACCGCAGTAGTGGCGGTCGAAGTGGTTGGCCATGAAGACCCCGGCGCCGCACTCGGGGTTGGGGCACTCCTTGCGGAGGCGGGTGACCTTGCCGGTGGCGTCGTCCACCTTGTAGAACTGGAGCACGGCGAGCTTCACCTTCTTGTGCTTGTGCTTGATCTTCTTGGGCTTGGTGTACGTCTTCTTCTTGCGCTTCTTGGCGCCTCCCCTCAGGCGGAGCACCAGGTGCAGCGTCGACTCCTTCTGGATGTTGTAGTCGGCCAGGGTGCGCCCGTCCTCCAGCTGCTTGCCGGCGAAGATCAGGCGCTGCTGGTCCGGCGGGATGCCCTCCTTGTCCTGGATCTTGGCCTTCACGTTGTCGATGGTGTCCGAGGACTCCACCTCCAGCGTGATGGTCTTCCCCGTCAGGGTCTTCACGAAGATCTGCATCTTGGCAGGCGCGCCCTGCTCCGGCGGCGGCCGCCCGACCTTACCTGAGGTTTCTCGCCTGCGGCGGCGGGATGGTGGGGGATGTGTGTGTGGGCGGCGACTAGGGTTGAGGAGGAGAGAGAGATGATTCTTTTATAGCTCGGACGGGGAGCTCTCTTCCGTTGGATCCAAAAGGATTTGGATCGAACGGCAGATATGGGCCTACGTTGATGGGAATTGTTGGGCCGCATGGGCTTCATTTTGTTGGGCTGGACCTTGTACCTTTTATGCCCCAGTTCGTCCTGTCCTCTCCTCTCCCTTTCTCTGTCTGTCTCGTTGCGGCGACACCTCCGCTGCCGCCGCCCGAGTCCCGAGCGGAGCCGAAGCCGAAGCCAACAACCGCCGGGGACGCGAGGGATTGTTTCGGAGATGGCGTCGACTAGCTCCGCCGGGGACGTGGGAGCCTCAGGTACGAATCCCCAAACAAATCCTGGATGAATGGAATGCTTTGCTTGGTTGCGTCCATGGGATTGGAGTTACTCGCAGGAATGAAAAGGGAGATTATTACAAGTTATTAGATGGTGCGTTCCTTGCGGGATTTGCGCGCCCAATTCCGCCTTTAGTGCAGAGATCTTCCTCTATGTAGTTCGTAACATGTATATGTCTGCTGGGTATCGTAGTCCTGTACGGCTCTTGATAAGATTACTACTGTTCATAGTTGCTTTTCCTTGGTATAGTGGTTGCATTAGGATTAGGTAATCTATGCTCAAACCTTGCCATTAGATTGTTAACAGCTCAGGGTACCTACAGTTTGTCCTACCATGCATGTGAGTGATCCTGACTTGGATACTTCAACTCCGACACAAACAGAGGATTGTTGATAGGATACGTCTGCAGATTTATCTTTTCAGATTCAGATGTGATGACTAATTTTGATGCAAGGCTCTTAAGTAGGATGAGATAACAGCTTTCAGATGCATAAACAAGTTCCTGATCCCTTTGGTATGTGGGATACATTGCAAGACAGTTATGTTGTAACATGCAGTTCATTTTTTGTTCTGTCCCTTGAGAACATGTTTGTAAGGGTTCTGCATCTTTTGATACTTTGGTTTAGAATAGACAACTATTTTTTTATGTCTACCTCTGTAATAATGGATAATGTATGGCCCAACAGTTGGCACTAGTCCTGTTAATTTCCATCATGCCTTTCTCACGAATGGAGGGAGTAAACCGTTGTGTAGTTAGCACAAGACTAAGAAACAACACATAACTCCCTTTTTAGGATAAGAAAACCGTTTAAAAGATTTGATCAGATAACTTCCAATAGAATCAGTTTTGACTTCCAAGCTACTTGAATGTGGTGACCTTTGTATAGTGCACTTTTGCTACTCACGAAAGTGAGGCAACGGTGTTGCACTAGCATGTTTGACATAGTTTCTGGATAATTTTTTGTTCTCCTTTTTGATCTTTTATTAAGTCAAAAACATATGTCTGTTTATGGTCACTATTCAGGAAGATGCATGCATGATATTTTAATTGAGAGTTTGCTGAAAAGATTCAACAAAAGGGTAAAGTTTTGTTAGAATGGACAACTGCTGTTTGTTGCTAAAAATGCAACTAATATCTAATCAGAACCCCTAACATTTTTCTTGTACCAGGGGGTAATTGTCCCTCGTTCTTTTTTCAGCTCTGTGAATGTAAATTTTCTGTTATGTGTTGTGATCCAGGGTCAAAAGGTGCGGTTGCTGATAAAACGCTTCCTGCTTCTGCAAATACCAGTAGCTCAAATCAAGAGTTTCATGATGCTGGTATGTATACTGTTTGTTCGCCCAGGCCTTGGGTTGCTCCTTTGTGTTCCAAAATAACGCTGTGTTTTTGTGCACATGAATTAGAAACAAACCTTTTAGATATTTGGGTCAGCAAATTTGTGATATGTATATATAGGCTATGGATCATATTCGTACTGCAATGTGTTTGCATTCATGATTGATGTTTCTTGCAAAGTTCAGCACACTGTGGCCTCTTGGTGACTTTTGTTCTTTTCACTAGATGTTATGAATTAGGATCCACCTTACTCTAGGTTTAGTATTTAAGTATGTATCTTATTTTCCTAGTAATGCTTCTTTTATGGTATATAGAAAAATATTTTTAGGGACATCTGGAAGGAAAATGAAATCTACTACATTATTTCTGCATTAACATACATGAGCTTGTATAGGATGCCTGTTCGCTCAAGTTGGCAAATGTGATAAATAAATGAACTTCTGATACACATGCACCATATTTTTAGTTCTAGACATCATAGTGTTACATGTCATGCGTGTTTGATCCTTATTATGTAGTTATGCACAATGCATATCCTTTAATTATTATATTAACAAATGCTTCTTTAACACACAGCCTGAATCTTTTCTTTTCCTTGCAGATGCAAAATCACGTGTGGAGGACATCTGGAAGAAAATGAACACTGGTTTGCCTAATAAGATGCCCAAGCCTGCAATGACGAAGCTCAGTACAACAGCAAAAGAAAAGAAAAATAAATCAACAAATGTGAGTAATATTTGTTTTTTGAGCTTAGCAGCGTGTAGGTTGCTTTGTGAAGTATCTGCTGGTTGGATTTTTCACAGTTAGCTTTACCTTTTGGAATATTTATTCTTTTCTGTAGAATTGGATGACTGTTCTAGGCCTTTCACCAAGTAAGGCATGTACTGTCGACCAAGGATCCAAAAATGGGCAACAACAGACACAACATGAAATGAGCGAGGATGCCAAAAAACTTGCAGCAAAGGCCCTTGCAGCTGCCAAAAATGCCGCTGCTGTGGCATCTGGACGAGGGAAAGTGGAGGTAAATCCAAACTGTCAGCATCACAAAACTTTTATTTTTGTTATTATTGGATAATGTAAAATAGAATTTCTCGAAAAAAAAATGTATCAGCACATGGCTTATCTGTAACCAAATGTCTTTTCACATGTCTAGTGCCGTTTTGAGTTCATTTTATTTAAATCATTTTAACTGCAACTAGTTTAAAAATTGAAAACACCAATAAGCTTATAGCACAGAAATATGGCAACTCCCTGGCTTTTGCAATATATTCATGAGCTTTAATGTCAGAATGCTTAACAACTTGTACTTTCACATGATCCAACAGATCACTGAGGTAAGGGACTTTGCTGGCAAGGACATCGAAATCAAGAAATTGGTTGATGCTAATTCAAAGGAGGCAATCGAAAAGGCCAAGGCAGCTGGTGCCGCCCCATCAGCTGTCGACAACATTCTAGAGCAAATACGGAAGAAGCAGAAGCTGAGCGTCCTGGACAAGACGAAGAAAGACTGGGGAGAGTACAAGGAAGAGAACCGAGGCTTGGAGGAAGAGCTGGACGCCTACAAGAAGAGCTCGAACCAGTACCTCGACAAGCAATCGTTCCTGCAGCGAACTGATTACCACGAGTTTGAGCGTGAGCGGGATGCCCGACTGTCGATGATGTCCAAGCGGAGGACAGATATGCGGGACGACGATGTGTAGGACTGAAATGTACCATGTTTGGAGGTCTTTTTATCCACTCCTTGTTGTAGACATTCTTTTGAGATAATGGTAGACACTAAATTGTCAATTGCCTTCCAGTCCCATTCAATGTATTGATTTTTTCTTTTTTTGAGAATTATAATGTGTTGATTACAAATCACGAAGATGCGTCATGCATGTGCATAACAGCATATGCCGGTCCGCACTCGTGATTGGAGAGGCTGGGTTTGGCAACATTTCTGAAACCGGGAAACTCTGACGAACCAGCAGCAGCAGAGAGCTCAGAAAGCTTGAGGAAAAACTGGGAATCTCTGAAACTTGAACCTATGATAACAATAAGATTTTCCCCCTTTTTTTCCACTTTTCTTATCTTTTTGCATAAGAAAATGAACGACCGTGCTTTCAATGTGTTGATGTTTATGATGAGGCTGTCCCGCTTGTTGATTAATCATCTCATCTTGCTAGTACGCCAAAGCTGCTCGCATCAGTGATGAGTCAGTTTACTGGAACCTGAAAAGTGAAAACTCAGGCTGTGCCACCCCTGGACGCCAAAATTGCTAATGAATAGCCCATAGCCCGTTGAATATTGAATATTATTCTTGTGGTCGCCGGGAAGACAGCGGCTGCCCAACCAACAACCAACCGATACAATACAGCCACGCGCGGCGCACGCGCTGACAGGAGAGAGCCGGAGAGCAGCCATGGCCGCGGGAGCAGCGTTGTACTACCACCCAGCCGCCGGGAAGGCGAGCCTCGAGGCGGTCGCCCCGCCCTCGCCGTCGCTGGCCCTGGGGCCATCGCAGAGCAAGGTGCTGTGCGTCAGAAGCGGCAGCCGGTGGTGGATGAGGCGAAGATGGGAGGGGAAGGCGAGCAGCGTCAGCTGCAGGGCAAGAGCGAGAGCAAGCGCAAGGCCTGCCTTGTTCTCTCCTGTGGCCATGGACTGGCAGGAGTGCACGTACGTTTCTCCTTCTTCCCTCTGATTCTGCCGGATCCAGGGATTGTTGCTGACTACTGATTCACTTGGAGAAATATCCCCTTTCCCTAGCTGATTGAGCTACTTTGCTTGCTGATTAGTACACCAGAAACCAATGTTTACTTGAAGGGAAGCCCAATTATTTTTGTCCCATGAATCTTATGCTGTGCAGAAACTGGGAATTTGGGTGAAATGTAGTATTGACATCTACGAAAGGTAGTCAATGGAAATGGGAGTGAATACCTTGTGTAATCTTCTGATGAGTATTTCTCACGCCAGCCACAAGAGATGCCGGTTTACATTGGATAAGGCTGGATTTTGTAGGGCCCAGGTTGTAGATGATTCTTATCACAGATTGTTGATATGTACTCGCAATAGGCAAGGCTTATAAACCTGACCATATTGAGTCTGATCAGAATTCAAAGTGCAGAGAAAATGTCACTGTTCCCTGCTTTATAGTTATAGGTGACTGCTGAGTACTGGGTTATGCATGAGTTTTGATTAAAAAAAAAACTTCCCAAACAGTAAACTCGTACTGGAGTCTCCTTGTATTTGAAAACTTCAGCAAATAACATCTTCGGTGAATAGCTTACTGAACTTACCTGCTTAACGTTTCATAGAAGTTCATTCATTTTTTTTTTCTAATTATGATTATGCGACTGATTGTTGTCTTCGGAACAGCACTCAGCTTGAAGTTGATGTTCCATGCTCGGTGGCCTATCAGTGTTACTCAGAACGGGAGACCATTCCTCAGTGGATGCCATTCATCTCGTCTGTCAAGGTGATTGTCAAGATTTAGTAAATACTACCCCTGTTTCTAGAGCAAATTAGAGGGAGGTGCTCTTACCTTGTGGGTGCATATACATGTTATGTAGGGGGTGCGTATATGGTGAAAACTTAGACAAAATCACTGTTTTAACATTTTCAGGGGGGGTTGCATTTGCACCCCCCCCCTACTCTCAAAGCAGCACCGCCCCTCCCTGTTTGCAATTTTTCAAAATAATAAATACTTTTTGAATTTATTGTCTTGACAAATTGCAAAGAGATGTAGTATTATTTGAAGACTATAAAATCTACATGAACTGTATGATGCATAGATCTTTCTCTTGGCCTCAATACTAGACTTTGTTTCTTTTTGGTGGTTATTGTGCGCTGTTTCCTTTACTAATGCTTGGCTTTGCATATATTGTGCTACATTAAGTTTGTTCAGTTTTAACGCACACACTTGTGCAAATATAATTTACAGGTCCTTGAAGATAAACCTGATCTTTCACGGTGGACTCTGAAGTACGAGGTCCTTGGGCGGGATGTAGAATTTTCTTGGCTTGCACGTAACATGACAGTAAGTATCTGCTATTACAAGGCTGCTATCAGTTTACATGTGAACATTCATTGACATTACTCCGCGTGTCAGCCTATTAAAAACCAGAAGATCCATTGGCGATCTCTTGAAGGTCTTCCTAATAGGTGAGTATTACGGAATCTGCGGCTATTGCATACATAAATTAGTCCTCAGTACTTCCATTTCACTGCAGCATTTTTCTTCACTTGATTGGGTTCAGTACAATAATTTTTGTGAGTAGCCTGTGGTTTTGAGTGCTTTGCCTTTTTTTCGAAGCTTTGACGCCCTGGAAGTTAAAAGTGACCAATTTTGCTTGATGCAGAGGTGCTGTTCGGTTCTTCCCCAAAAGCTCATACTCTTGTAGAGTACAAGTGAGTATTCAGCCTTGTGAATTTGTGACATTTGTTTTTAACTTCAGGTTGATATCTTTCTTTAAAACATGATCTTCCTTTTCATTACTATACGCAGCTGACAGTGGCATATGAAGTTCCTGAAATTCTGGCCCCAGTTGCATCAGTAAGTGGCATGCATAAATCTTATGCTTGCATAGCAACTCCTTGACTGACCAGTCCAACTATCATTCACCAGGCACTGAAACCGTTTCTGGAAAGCTTGCTTCTCAAAGGTTTAGAACGCTTTGCCACATTTGCCAAGGAGCGTAATAGCAAGATTCCTCATTCTTGAACAGCGTCACTCCTCTTCTGTGTTCAACACTCCATAGCAACAATTCTAGTTTCATTAGTGAAGCCAGTGAATCCACATCACAATGCACAAAATATGTAAAGATTGCGTAATGTCATTCTGGATGTGGCCAAATAATGTATCAAAAGGGAAGAGAATACAAGTGTGAATACAAATATGTCAAAAGTTGGAAGTCTGCTTCTTGCTTCTATGTCATTTATTAATCATGTTCTTTTGTCCTCATTATAACCGCTGAATGAATCACCCTGTTCGCTTGCTTATAAGTCGTACTTTTTCAACCAACAAACAGTATTTTTCTCTTACAACAAATCAGCCAACAGTAGTTTTAACCATTACTTATCAACCAAGCGAACAGTGGAAGCATGTCTCAGGTCATCTCATTCTCAGTAAAAATTCACCAGAATGCTACTTGGCGGTAAGCACCAAGCATGAGCCATGAGGCACTCAATGCCGAACGTAATACCTCTTAATGCGGTGTCATTAACTCGTCATCGTTATCAGATGAACACGAGCTTGATGCAAACATATTATGCCGGTCTCGATATGTTGACCGTACAGACATCCTTATTCTTCTGAGAGAAACGATGCTGTGGTTGAGTATATGTGCATGCGTGCGTGTTCTCGAGTACTGACTGTTACACTGTATCATGTTCCTCAATCCTCAGCGATGCAACTAAATCACATTCATATCAGCACAAGGATGTTAAACAAATGCTACAACAGAAAAAGAAACCAAGGCACAAACACGGCCATCCAGCAACAGCCACACGGAAATATCGCGAGATACAAAGGTTACTAGAACGTCAGAAATGTATCCATCAATGATTCATGGGCATAAACAGCAAATATAGTTCAGGATATTATTTGGATGGATAAGCCAAGCCAAGGAAGCATAAACGGCTATAAGATGTGGGCAACTCGGCAAAGGGTCAATTCACAGTATCGCCAACAAAACGAAAGGGCAATCAGGGGTCTTTTTGTTCCAACAGACCCAAAATCACCACAAACTTTGGATCTTGTTGAGCCACCAATTTGGATGGTAAAGAAACAGAAAATGAGAAATTATATGTGGATTGCTTTGTCGAAGGTTTGCAAGCAAGCCTCCTTGAGGGCTTCGCTCACGGTAGGGTGTGCGTGGCATGTTCGAGCAACATCCTCACTGGATGCTCCATACTGCAAGGCGAGGACAGCTTCATGGATGATTTCACCAGCATTGGGTGCCATTATGTGCACACCCAGAATCTTGTCAGTTTCCTTATCTGCGATCACCTTAACTACCCCTTCAGCGTCATCAATGGCCTTCGCACGGCTGTTAGCCAAAAGTGGAAACTTGCCCACGCGATAGGCAATTCCTAGATCCTTCACCTGCTCCTCAGTCTTGCCAACAGATGCAACTTCTGGATGTGTATAGACCACACCAGGAACTGTGTCATAGTCAACATGGCCTTCCCTTCCAGCAATGAACTCTACGCATGCAACACCATCCTCTTCAGCTTTATGGGCAAGCATGGGACCAGGGATGGCATCCCCGATTGCATAGACTCCGTTCACATTGGTCATGAAGCGCTTATCAACAAGGATCCTGCCAGCCTTGTCTGTCTCAACACCAAGAGTTTCAAGCCCAATCCCAGAAGTAAATGGGGTTCTGCCAGCAGAGACAAGGACAACATCTGCTTCAAGGATGGTTTGCTCACCACCAGCTGCAGGCTCAAGTGTCAGCTTTACGCCATCTCCACTGGTATCACACCCAACAACCTTTGTCTTGAGCATGAACTTGAACTTCTGTTTTTCTAGCATGCGTTGGAACTGCCTCCTGACCTCGCCATCCATTGATGGTACTATATCCGGCGCAAATTCAACAACAGTGACCTCTGAACCAAGGCGGTTCCAGACTGAACCCATCTCAAGGCCAATATAACCTGCTCCGATTACCACCAGTTTCTTCGGGATCCCTGACAAGCACAGTGCACCAGTAGATGAAACCACTTTCTTCTCATCAATTGTTATTCCCGGAAGTGATTTTACATCAGACCCAGTTGCAATTATTATGTTTTTGCCTTTGACAACAGTGCTACCACCATCAATCAAATCAACTGATACTTCTGAGGGGGATGACAATTTCCCAAAGCCTTTAACATAAGTCACCTTGTTCTTTTTAAAGAGCCCTTCAATTCCTTTTGTTAGTCCTACCACAGCTTTGTCTTTCTGAGCCATCATGGCTGGGAGGTCGACTTCCAGATTTGAAAACTTAACTCCATGGTGTGCAAAAGAATTCTTTGCTTCATGGTACATATGTGATGAATGCAAAAGAGCCTGAAATATGTAAAGTAAAGCTTGGATAAAATCAGAAGTGTCCTAAATGAAAAATGGTCCATAATGCCAAAAAACTGAAGTAAACAATTATCTAGGTGCAGTTATACAAGAACTACAGAAGAATGTATAAATCTGAGATAAAATATGCTCGTCTCAAATCCAAAAAAAGGACATGTATCACTAGGTTGATGAACCCAGGGAATACTACAATATAATTTTACATTCAAGTTATTGGATGGAAGCCTCTAAGCAAGAAATTTCGATCCCATGTAATTCACTTATATACCATAAAAATGAAGAATGTCTCTGGATGACCTCATGAATACTATCGACTTACATATCTTTAAGGAGCTTGTCTCCAATACAAAGATAAGATACTCAACACGTAGACATGAACAGTACTGTACAGTAAGTAAAAAGTGAGGAACACAAAGCGCTTCCATTTATGCTGCACTGCATAGTTAGCCAAGTTGACGAAACACACCCGGTCAATTTTCCATGAAGATACCCACCCCCGACCCCAGGGAAGCGAATAAGGGTTTATTAAGACAGAAATTGTGAAAGAGTGAATAGGTTCTAAATCTTAACAGTGCAACTCACTAGGGTGAACTGATGTACCCAAAATCACAAAGGTTTACAAGGTTTCCACGTCGATAGGATAGGAGAAACTCTACTTATGGAAGGTTTTTACAAGGTGGCGGCAAGAATGTTTCCACATTCCCTGGACGAGGAACATGGCTTTGAGCCTGCTTCATATGCCTATGGTAGTAAACAAACGAACCATAAAAGATGAACCAAACTATGCTTTTATTAACAATTGGCCCATGAAACATGGGACCCTGGTGGAATTCCAAATTGTATCTACAAGTCTCCAAGGGCCCTGAGCAAGCAATGGTATAGAAAGAAAAGCAAAGAAAACAACACAGTGATCTCTTGATCTCTACCTCGGTCCTCACCGCCCGTGGCCATATGGTGTGACAAAATGCTGCCAAAAGTTCCAACACAAAAAGAAGTGCTGTACATAGTTTGTAAAAAAAAAGGGCGTACCCAGTGCAGAGAGCTCCCGCTCTGTGCAGGGTCTGGAGAAGGGTGTTAGTGGCAAGCCTTACCCTCGCCTGTGCAATGCGAGGAGACCGCGACTCAAACCCGGGACCTTCCGGTCACAGGCGGTAAGACTCTACCGCTTGCACCAGACCCGCCCTTCAATGTACATAGTTTGTAACTAATTATAAAAATCATAACAGTTCTTTAAGCGTAAAAAATATATACTGGAAAATGAAACCAAAATGAAGTAATCATCCCATTTAAAACTATTTGTTAAATAGATGGTAGTTATGTTGACCCTACCTATTGACCATTGATTCCCGGTACATCAAACAATTTCAAAATATTTGCTCGTGACTGTGATGCACACAAAAACAATACCAGTAACTTCGATGATCCTGTAGTAAAAAATTATCACCAAGCAGATGCCAACAAACCAAATTTCAAAGAAACACAATTACACAAGCACTTTATAAAATATCTTGCATCCTGTGGCGCTGGGGTACGCCTCAACGCCTAGGCGATGCCTCAAAAACCATGCTCGCACGAGATTCCAAATGTACAGCAGAGACAAACTGAACACTTCTAAACATAACAGGAGATTGATTCATAATTAATACCAATACATGACAGTAGATTTTGAACAAAAAATTATGTGCCATCATGCGCGCAAAGGGACACAGTATTTCACAACTAATGCTGTGAAACAAAAACTGCTTCTGAAATCCTAATAGCAGTGTAGAAAGCTCTCAGGATCACCAACTTTATCCACTGCAGAAACAAAGTTGAAGCACACGCCCCAAGCAACAGCATCATGATGACAGGTTAGGTTTACCACCATATGACTAGTGTACCCCAAATCATCCGCGATTCTAAAAAACTCTCACAGATCTAACACCCCAAATCATATATCATCACGTAGCAACAAAGAGATTGGTGTAGCACAGCAATGGGGGTAGGAGAGGGAGACGGCGAAATAGGGCATCACCTTGGATGGGATGCATCCGACGTTGAGGCAGGTCCCGCCGAGGGTGCCCCTCTTCTCGATGCAGGTGGTCTTGAGACCCAGCTGCGCGGCCTTGATCGCCGCCACGTACCCTCCGGGCCCGCCGCCCACCACCACCACGTCGCTCTCCTCGCCCGCCGCCGCGTACGCCCTCCAGGCGGACACGGCCGCCCCGGCCGCCGCCTGCGGCCGCCGCAGCACGGCCGCCGCCGCCCGCCGCCTCGCCAGGATAGCGAGCGCCATCTCTCTCTCTCCGCGTGCGCTTCCTTGGTCTTCCCTCCCCGAAGAAGAGATCCGCGCTGGGAAGAGAGAGAATCGAGATGCCGCCGGTGGGGCCCGATCAAATAGGGTTCACGCTCGCTCCTGGCCGTACGATGAAGGGCTCGTCCCACCACTTAGGGGTGTTTAGTCGGTGAGTTCAAAATTTTTGACGTCACATTGCATGTGGTGGAAGGATGTTGGAAGGAGTTTTTGATACTAATAAAAAAATAAATTACACAGAAAACTGCGAGACGAATCTAACGATACTAATTAATCGGCCATTAGCACATGGGGGTTACTGTAGCACTTAAGGCTTTTCATAGACTAATTAGGCTTAAAAGATTCGTCTCGAGATTTC